CCATAACAAAAAGGTAGTAGGGGAATCTGCAGTACAGATAGCTGGAGAATCCCTTTGACTTCATAGTAGCTGGATAAAGATAAATGTGTCTTTAGTATTTTTAAGCCTTTCCCTCATCCCCCTTTAGCTCAGTAATCGGCAAGTTTGATGCGTTTTGGGATAGAGGAGCTCTAGTAGCCGTGAATCCATGCGACAGACAACGGTTAGTAAACTTGCTTTGTTATTGTCTTTTCTCTAATGTATGCAGTGACACATTTTTCCTCCTGCCACTTGTTGAGTCCCCTTTCATTCAAAGGACTAACCTAAATGAGTTCTCTACTGCACACTGCAGCTGCAGTCACACAGTGTTGTACTCTAGATTTGTGAGGTTCCTGCAGGAAGCGGCCCTGCCTCTTGGTTGTAAAATATGTGGTTTGTTCCAACCCAGCAGAAGCAGAGCTGCAAGTCTCATCTGAATTTTATTATTTCCTTTTCACCCCATCTGCTTCTTGTCCTTTTGTTCTTTCTGCCCTCACTTCCCTTTATTCCAATTTTCCATTCTTGCCTATAGCCAACCCAAATGTAGTTTGACCCAGGTTTTTTTAATTAGATACATAGTCTTGAATTCACAATAATTTTAAAAGATCAGTGCTCTATTGTGTGCTGTATTCTAGACTGTGGCAGATGAATGCTATGTTTTGTCTGTTAGTTTTGAGATGAACATGCAAAAAAGATTAATGCTTGTTTATGAGAAGTAAACAGTAACCTTTATATGGTGCTTCACGTTTAGCATCAATTTCATGCTCATGAAATTCAAACTAAGCTCTGCTTAATTTCTGTGCAGTTAAGTTGTGTCTGCATAGAAATACATGTTACCTCCTTTGTTAAGTATTTTAATAGCTATGCTTGAATGTTTGCACAGTTACAAAATAATAATTTAACTTTCTCCTTTTAGCTATGCCAGTTTGATGATCAACCTAATGGAGAAAAATTCTTCTTATCTCCTTGTTACAGTTTCATATGATCCAAACAAACACAAAGGTGAGAGCTTCGCACTGTTCATGTTTTGATCTTGCATGCTTTAATACAGATTGTATAGAGATGTGGTAGATACATTAGTATCTTCCCTGGGTCTTTTGACAGCACAGCTTTGTCAGCTGATCACACCATTACAGCTGTGTGTTAAAAGGCTTTCTTTCTAGCCTTCAGGCATGCTAAAGGTAAGTGGAGGACAGATACAGTATGTTAACAATGAAAGGAACCTGGAAGTGTGGCTGTAACAATGAAGCTGGAAAAGTGAATGCTTAGAGTAACATTCTGTCTGGCCTAGGGACCTTGAAGCACTCCCACTCAATGGCTTCCCTCTGTTTACCCAATATTGCAACCCAACATGTTGCCTCTCTCCCAACCGCTGCTCTGGTGTGAATATGCTTGGAAGAGGTGAAATTCTGTAAAATAATAAAGTTTTGGTGGTTTATTTTTCTTTTTATAGCTTTTATTACATACCAAAGTCTGAGATATCTTAAAATATTTTTGTTGTTGTTAATTATTATCTCTCAAAAGAAAGAGATTTCTTGCTGCTTTTGGGCTCTTGAGCATAATTACGCCTGGAAAAAAATAGGGTTTGTTATCATAAGAAACAATAGTTTACTTCATTGCTCTCCCTCTCACATTATTTAGTTTTTAGCTTTAATTAAGCCATTGTAGTATAAAGAGATTGTAGGCCAGATTCACACATCACATTGACAGTGGTTGTATCCACTGTACGTTCATGACTTCTGACAATGGGGTTACTGTAGATGCAGCAGCAACACCTGAAGGTGTCTGACAGCCCACCAAGGTGCCATGAGCTCTTGGACATGATTGTTTTCCGGTTCCTGCAGATGGTAGTACACACTGGGGCCCAATTACAGGCCAGGTGCTGTGAGTGATGGGGCTGTGGCTCTCCTGTTGCGGTGTAAATGTCTGTCTCTTTCCTGTATTCTCTGAGTGGCTTTACTCATTTTTTTTTCCAGGCCCTCCATTTTATGTTCCTGAATCTGAAATTAAAAGCCTGTTTGGTAAGTGGTATTTCAGCTGACCCTTGGGATTTTTTTCCAAAACATATCAGCATGTTTATATGCATCTATGTTACCCTGTGACAAGTATTAGAGAGCTATTCACTTCTTATCTAAAGGGTGGAGTCATGGAAAATCAAATACCATATAGCCACAGGGATTTTGCTGTCAAGGAAAACACTCAGCTTTTCAAAAGATAGGAAGAAAACCCAAGAGACAGGTACTGTCTCCTTCCTGCCCTTGCATCTTTCCATTCTCCCAGGATTCATACTGCACTCAGTGATCTTGTAGCTGTAGTCTTAGTCCAGTTTGACCGTTTTGTCTTTCTCTGCACCTCATCACCACCTACCTGATTTTAATGCAAGGCCTTTGCATATGCATTTTACAGTTTCTGCTGTACTTTCATAGCCATAGAAGAAAAACATGCCATGTGAAGAAAACGGTAACTGTACAACTGAAATCCATCAAAATAATGACATTCAGAATCATGTTGAGAATCTAATTTTAAAAGCTATTCCTGATATGCTTTGTTATTGCACTTTTTTCAAGTCTACAGCTTTCTGAGACCCTTGTGGTGTCTGTTTCTGTGTGAGTCGTTGGCATGGGCAGTTGCATCCCTGTACAAAAGCGTTCCCCAGTACATATGTGCCACTGCATTAGGGCTATAAGGAAATCCGTAATATGACTGTTTTTTCCCCCCGACAGTTTGCATTTTTCAGTGATCAGTCAGTAATTTGTTACTCCTTCCTCCTTTTCAGGCAGCCACTGTGAAATTAAGTGTCTTGAAAAAGTGGATGACTTCTCAGAGAGACATAGACAATGGGGACTAGATTATTTTCTGGAGGTGCTGTATTTGCTGAAGCTTGTATCTTGATTAAAATTACTTAAAATAATTCACCTCCCATCTTGCTTTTATTTTTCTCTCACCTTTTAGAATTTGAAATGTTTTGGATCACTCTTAAAGCAGGCTTCAGCTTACAGGAAAATGCCGGTCCATTTTGTTTATCAAGCCAGCTCTCCTACATAATTGCTTTCACTGTCTTGAGACGTTCCCCCCTTTGCTTAAACTCCATGCACAAATAAGATTTTCTAAAGTACATCTTTTCTTCCATAGCAATTTGTGTCTTCGGGACCGGGAAAAATAGATGTCCCTGTTCCCTTCCGGCTGTTGCCGGTCAGTGGCACTTCCTGGCATTCCGCAGGTCGGCCTCATTGGTTGGCAGCCCTGGGAGAGATGGCAGCTGCTGTTCAGATACTCTTTACTTCAACACTGGCCTCATGCCAGGCCGGGCAACTGAGCAAGAGAGGTGGGAAGCTGGCGCAAGTTGCTCCTCTCTGTCCATGTTAGTCCTGAGTACAAGTCAAGTGACAAGCTGGAAATGAGCGGGCAAGAGCGCTTGGCAGCAACTGCCAAAGGGGAGCTACCATTGAGCAGGAAGGAGAAGGAAGGAGGGAAGCAAACCAGCTGACAATAAAAGAGAAAGGGGACAAAATGCCCTCACCTTCTCCCCTTGACAGCTTATTTTAAAAAATGGTGGAAAGGTACAATTGCAATGTGGTGTATTATAATTCACCAAGGCCAGAAGGTGAGTAAAAGCCATGGGACATTTTAGATTGTTGCAGTCCTGGAGCCACAGTGTGTGTGATGATTCCAGCTCAGCAGTCCCCAGGCTACAGCCTGCTGCAACTCTCAGTATTGCTTGTGGCTACTGGTGCTTCAAGGTCGGGTTGACAGAGAGAGGAAAGGGTGTAGCCTAATGGGCCAGTGCAAGCTGAAGGCTGCTATTTTCATATATTTTCACTGCTGGCCAGTACTGCAGCTACCAGGTTAAGGCATCTCCTTCCTCTTGATCGAGAATTTTTTTCCAGATGCTTTGGGAGAGTCACGTTTATCTTACGCTTGTGGATACATGGTGGCTGCAAAGACCAGGTGCTTGGGGCAAATGCTCCATGATGTCCTGCAGAGGATTCCCAGGTATGTGACAACCTGGTGAGAGCAATGCCACCTGCCAGGTGAGCCATTTCAGGATGTGCGAGATGGCTCTGCTGTGCATGTACCCTGGCAGTTACTCTGAGAATACATTGCAAATACACGATGCGGAACAAGCACGTGCTGCCCATGCAGCTTACAGGATGTGTGTGCGTACCTGATGGAGGAAAGTGGCTACTGGCCGTTGGTGTAAATATTTTTGTTGCATTTGCTGAAAGAGGACACCTCTCCTGTGAAGACACACTGAGAGAATTGGGCTTGTTCAGCCTGGAGAGGAGACATGAGAGCAGCCTCCCAGTACCTAAGGGGGCCTACAAGAAATCTGGAGAGGGACTATTTATAAGGGCATGTAGTGACAGGACAAGGGGGAATGGCTTTTAGCTGAATGAGGGAGGATTCAGATTACATATTAGGCAGTTCTTCCCTGTGAGGGTAGTGAGGCACTGGCACAGGTTGCCCAGAGAAGCTGTGGCTGCCTGATCACTGGGTATGTTCAAGGCCAGGTTGGATGGGGCTTGGAGAAACCTGGTCTAGGGGAAGGTGGCCCTGCCCATGGCAGGGGGTTGAAACTGGATGATCTTTAAGGTCCCTTCCAACCCAAACCGTTCTGTGATTCTGATTTTAAAAAGCTTCCCAGAACAGCAAGAGAAATCCTTTGAAATTGCAACCTGTGCATTTGGTCTTTTCCAGCGTTCTCTACTGCCAGGTCACGCAGTAAGCGCTTCTGGTGGTACAGAAATGCCCCTAGGCTATGCTGCAGTAGGATAAATAGCCTGGCAGCGGTATGATGATCCGCTGCCGGGGTGTCTCTGCGGGTCTGGCGGGGGTTTAACCGGCGAGGGCGGCCGCGGACCGAGCGAACCCCGCCGGCAGTGCCGCAACCCGCCCGCAGGGGACGCCCGCCCGCAGGGGATGGCCGCCTGACGCAGCAGCACAGCACAGCGCCCCGCCCCGCCCGCACCCTCCCGGCCTCACTGCGGCGGGCATGGCGGCGGAAAACGAGGAGGAGCTAGGGCTGCTGGAGTGCCGGGTCTGCTTCGAGCGGTACGGCCACGGCGGGCAGCGGCGGCCGCGCAACCTGCCCTGCGGGCACGTTCTCTGCCGGGGCTGTGTGGAGGCCCTGGGCGGCCCGGAGCGCCGGCGGCTGGAGTGCCCCTTCTGCAGGCGGGCCTGCAGCTCCGCTGAGACCACCGACTGCCTGCCGCTGCTGCAGCTGCTGGAGGTCCTGGGCCCCGCCGGCACCAGCATCCCCTCGGCCCTGGGCAGAAGCGGCGGCCGAGGAGCAGCCAGGCCGGGCGCCGCGGGCCTCGGACTCCGGCTGTCGCTGGGAGGCTGGGGGTCACTGGTGAACCCCACCGGGGTGGCAGCCTGCCGGAGGTCGGGGCGCCTGGCGGTGGCACATGACGGCAAGAAGAGGATCCACGTCTTCGGGCCGGGTGGCTCCTGCCTGCAGCAGTTCGGGGAGCGGGGGGACGCGGGCAATGACATCAAGTACCCGCTTGATGTGACGGTCACATCAGACGGGCACGTGGTGGTCACAGATGGTGGGGACTGCTCCGTGAAGGCCTTTGATTTTGAGGGAAGGGGGGTCCTGGCTGTCCGGGAAGGTTTCTGTTTGCCCTGGGGCTTGGATGCCACCCCGGACAGTGAAGTAATCCTGACTGACGCGGAGGCAGGTGCGCTGTACCGCTTGACGGCCGACTTCAAGGCGGGGAAGTTAAGGAAGTGTCAGATGATCCAGTCTCAGCTCATCAGCCCAAGAGGGGTTGCAGTCTCCCAGACTTCGGGTGCTATTGTGGTAATAGAGCACCTGAAAGCGCAAGGACCGAACAGCAGCAGCACCCGAGTGAAGATATTCAGTGCAGAGATGGATCTTGTCGGCCAGATGGATAGCTTTGGTCTGAACCTTGTTTTCCCCTCCAACATATATGCTACGGCTGTGGCCTTTGACAAAGAGGGTCATGTGGTAGTAACTGATATCTGTAGCCAGGCTGTAATATGCTTAGGGAAACCTGAGGAGTTTCCCATCTTTGACCCTCTAATTAGCCATGGGCTTTATTATCCTGTAGGACTGACTTACACGGCAAACAACTCCCTCGTTGTTTTAGACAGCGGTGATCATTCAGTAAAAATATTTAGCTCCACCTGAATGGGTTTAGGTGCTTACTGCTATAGGTTCAAGCTGCTTTTGGCCATAAAGCACACAAAGTTCTGGTACTACTAGTGTGCAGGAAGGAGGCATTTTCTGGGCTGTAAGTGATGTTGTCCTCTTTGACCAACATGCTGTGCTTCCTGCAGAACTTATATTAAATCTCTTGCCTGTCTATGGGAGACTTGTTGGTTGCAGGCTGTAGTCAACAATGAATCGAGCAGAAGAAGAATGTGGCATTTTAAAGCAATTCTGTACCTTGACAACCAAATGTTTTGGGCACTTTTGGACAAGAACAATGACATTTGGAAAGTGATGCAGTTTACTAGCACGCAGTTTTCAGTATTCTTTGTTAAGCACAAATGCACTCATAGAAGTGATGGAGTTTCTGTTTCCAGGGTTTCTGCCTGAGAAAGGGTACTGGCTTGACAGAATGATAGGAGAAATGGAAGCTTCAGTTAAAGTTTGCCTGAATTCAGCTAGGATCATTGCAATGGAGGAGCTACCACTGATGAGTGAGTTATGTGCAGTAAATTAGTGCTTGAAGCCTGTTTTTTTCCATACTGGGGAAACGCTGTTCTGCAAGTACTCTTCCTGTAGTAGTTTATTCCCACCTTTATTAGGGTTCTACTGGAGCACTTGATCTTCCTGTATAATGCACAAGCCTGTGTCTATACCTGGAGATAACTTGGTGTGTGGCTACCAGCATGAGCAGCTTTCCCTAAAACTTCCTTGAAGTATTTGTGTTTAGTGCACAAATACTTCTGCATATATAAAATTGAGTTGGCTATGCTGCCAAGACTCCTGTGCTTGGGAACTTTCCAATACTGCCCTCCTCTGTCTAGTCGGTAGTATGGTACTTTTGCACCCAAAATGTCAAGATTCCACTGACAAATGAAAGGTTGGTGAGAAGAAATAGAGAAAGGGGGACATAAGCCTCATTTTTTTCAGAGCATCCAGTGAGGTTTTGTTGATTGTGAATACACAGCAGGTTTAGGTCAGTTCGTATTTTCACAAAAACAGTTTCACTGTGGACACAACTTAAGTTGCCTTATTTCACAGTGGAAATTAAGGTTTTTATTAATGTTTTTACCACTGAATGATTCTGAGAAGGAGTAACACCCTCCTAGAAGTCACTGCTGTGTTTTTAGGCATATACATGCTGCTAAAATGACTGCTTAGGTGGTTCAGCATTAAAAGGAAGTTAGATACAAATGTAAATGCTCTCTGAGTTAGAGACACGTAGGTTAAAATGGTATAAAACTTCTGGCGTTATTTATTTAGTCATTGAAACCATTAATATTAACTAACAAAATTTGAAATGCACAGGCCATCTTTCTACCAGTACATTTTTAATCTGGCTTTTGATCTGACTTCAGGGCATTTAATAGCTGCATGTATTGCTGCACCAGCGATTTACCAAATACTTTAAATTGGAGTGGTTTAGCCCTCTTAGACAATGTATTAATCTGTTTTATGGTAACATTTATATAAACAAGACAAATCTATTAAATGCAGCTGTGTGTAAAGGTTAATTGAACAGTGACAGGCCAATGAAGTGTGATTTGCTTACTTCTATATTGAATAATTTAGTGAAAACTCATACCTTTTTATCATGGGTTTCTCTGTTACAAGCCAGTCCTTGTATTGCAGTTGCCCTGTAGACGGTTTCTATTTTTTGTTTGGGGATGTCCTGCTAAAGTTGTGGTAGGCTCATTTGTTGCTATTGGAAAATATAAGGTGCTGCACATTTGGTCTTTTCCAGCCTGGCCAGAGCCTCTGGTGGGACCAGAAATGCTCCTTGGCTGTTCTGCAGTAAGAGGTGTATGGCCCTTAGCAGGATCCTTCTTGAGGGGCCAGGAAGAAAATTTACTCAGAGAAGCAGTTCCCTGGATTATATATTCCTTTTTAGGAGCCAAGGAGATGTCTGAGGGGTATAAAAACAATTAGATAACATTTCCTTTGGGGAACTGCTTTGTTTGGTTCAAAATGCATGCACTACCATCAATGCTGTATTCATACATAATTAATAGTTTATCACAACAGCATTTCCTCTGAACTGAGGGCTGGGAGCTTTCATCTCCTCAAACCTTTCTGTGCACCAGGAGCTTGGTTTTGCTGCTGAGCTCACAGATGAGCAAGTTTCCTAGCACCTATTGCAACTTTCCAGCAACTAAAATGTCAATTTTCAAGTATTTGACTCATGCTGGTTTAAAATCTGCAAAAACTCCCATTGTTGCCCATTCTGCTTCTATCTCCTTTGGTATATGCCTAGAAATCACTCGGTGTTTGGGTTTGTAAGCAATATAAACTTTGTGCCTTTACCTAGTTTCCTGTATGCTGTCTCCTGCAGTCTCACCGAAAGCAACTGTAGACTTTCCCTGTGAATGGTGCAACTGTTTTCATTTTACTATAAAGCTTGGTGTTTACTGTTGTACAATTCTGCATCAAAGAAACTATTACATTCTGTCTTAATTCACTTTAAGCAGGTGCCTAAACTGAAAACCATAAAGAACTGTATAAACCCATGTATTAAAAATTTTGAGTAAGGGAAAATGCAGCAGTAAACCTGAAATCTTTTGTCACACAAGAGAATTAAAGCAATAATGGGAGACAGAGATACACCAGTTTGCTGATAACAAATTAAAAAGCCTTTGACATTTTTACTTTCTCATGCCTCTTTCTTTATGTATATATGCACATTTCTCCTGTAGCTACTGTAGATACCAGTTGCCTTCAGGGTGGTATCCTAATGCCTTCAGCTTTCCAGAGGCCCAGGGGATGCCTAGTGCTGCTATCCATTGGCACATCTGTGGGAATTTAGTCACAGATTTTGACAAAACACAAATTTGTGTTGTGAGAGAGGGATGGTAAACGATGAGGGGCCCATACCTGAAAAGATACCATTAGGTAGGTGACGCTTTTGGGGTCTGACAGGGTGTGCTCAAAACGGGGATAGCTAGATGTGTGCTTACCTCTGGAAAAGAGTGGTGGCCGTTTCATTTAGAAACTAAGGTGGGTCTGCATCTGGTCACTTCAGTGATAATTACTGTTGTGTTTATTTTAAAACAAGAACCTAAAGTAAGCTTTGCATAACCCTCTGCACCTTGTGCTTTAACAATATGGGTTAAACCCAAACAAATATAATGGATAGTACCCCCCAATGTCATCTCTTCGGCCCTTACTATAAAGTGGTATGTCTGTTGTGCACACACACTCTGCAATTCCTGTTTGGTTTAAGTACTGGTGTCAGGTTGCTATCAGTGCATATAAATATACCAGGATATTGTTACAGTGTTTAGGAATAAAGGAGGCAGAGGAGTTTCAGAAATGGGTATTAAAATTGTGTTCTGTAACGTACATGGGTTTTGGTTTGCTTGTGAAGAGGATAATTTTAGATAAAGAATAGTTTATTTTCAGGTTAATGAATATAGAGATGAAAGAAATATGGGGGGATGGGGGGGGGGGAAGGCTAAATTTACTTAATTTTGGCCACTGTCTGTTTGACCATGTGTGTCCCCTCCAGCCACATTTCTGTGCACATCAGTTTGATGTTTGTATTTTTACAAAGCGTGGATGCAACACCACTGTAGCTTTTTTTTTCTTTTACTTGGACTGATTCCAGTGAAGAGGGGGTCTCCTGTAATATCCAGCTCCCAGACCACAAAGGGTTTTATAGAGCAGGATCCATCAAAATGATGGCCTTGAATCCAGGAGGCCTTTCCTTTCTGAAAGGGTTCACAATGGTGAAAAACCAGCTTTCTCCCTTGGGACCTAGGCTTTCTCTAGGGTGCTCCTCAGAAGAAACCTGATTCTTCTGGACAGTTTCAAAGCTATCTGGTGCTGGAGAGGTTCTCAGTGAGCAGATGATGCACTGCACTTAGATCTTTTTCTCACCAGTGCTTTCTAAGAGATCTACAGATACTTTATAACTCGGTGCTCTAATCTGTTTGAGGCAAACATGATACAATGTCCTGGCCCTGCAGCTGCAGACAGGAGAGCTGAGAATGAAGGGAAGCCTTTGGCAGCCTTGAGACTAGATCTCAGACTTCCCATTACAAGACTGGTGCCATAATAAAGCAGGGAGAGTCTGTGTTTAATTATCCTCTTGCTGGGAGTTGCCTTCCTGATTCTGGGAGAATTTTGACATTTTACCGATGATTTTCTTGTTGCTAATTCCTTTGGTGAGTCCTACAAATCATGAAAATGAATACCTTTCTAAACCATGGTGTATTCCTAGACAATTGCTTCCCATGTGCTTAACAAAGGTGCGTGGTTTCCAAGTTTTGAAATGCTCTGTCAGGAGGCGTACTGCCATGAAGTCCCACTGCAGTGATCAAGTTACTTATTCCATGTTGAGGGTAGAAAGGAGGAGAAGAGAACCACTCTGGAATGGAAAAAAAAGAAAGTAATGAAAGGTGTCTGTGCCTAAAGCAGAGGGCGAACTCCCAAGTCAGAGCACAGAGCACACCCATCGTTCCAGTAAGGGAACGCATTCTTAAGATGTGAAGCATTTCAGCCTGGAAAATGGACAAGACGATAAGGGCTGATGCCTCTTGGTTAGCATTGACCTCTGGCAGGGAAATAACCTACATTTGACAGATCTCCCAGCCACAATTAGGCACTTTTCAGATTATAATCCGTAGGAGAGCTATCTGTTACTTTCAGATCTGTATTTGCAGCAAAAATCTGTGGGAAATGAAGATCTGGAGCCAGCTAAGCCTTTTAGGGAAGTGTGCTCTCTATAACTGAATAAATACATACATAGCATTTTTCTAAAATCCCTCTTAATGTAGGCAATTTTTGTGCTTTTTTTTTCGTGGGAGAGATTATATGGGCAGTGAGTTGAGGTGAGAATAAACCCTGCTTTCATGGAGTATAGTGGGTTTTTAATCAGGAAAATGTTGCTAGTTAGAAGATTCTGTGAATCATTTTAACTAAACATAGTCATATGCTTTGTAATGAATAAAGGGTAGGCAATTTTAAGCAGGATATAGGATTAGAGAGGAAAAAAATATAGATGGGAAAATGAAAGAATTTATTCTGAGAAAACCAAACATGTCAAAAAAAAAAAAAAAAACAAACCACCAAAACAAAAATGTCCCTTATCAAAGCTTGATTTTAAAACTTTGGTACAAAAAGGATGATCTTGAAAGAACCATCACACCTACATAATCACAGGAGGTAGCTAGTTTATTTGGGGGTTTTGTTCCAAATATAAAGAGGTAAAAAAAACCATATGAATGCTTGCCTAGCATGATTTCCTGAATAACATGGACTATGGAATTTAACCAGTATTAACCAGTATTTAGTAACTACTGACGTGTGTTGAAAGTAAGAAACAGAACAATCATCCTTTACTCTCACAGGCTGAAGAGCTAAGGTGAGAAGAAAGATAATGTCATTAAAGTTACAACTTTAAAGATACAGCTTTGTAAGAAATCCATCAAAGAGTCAGATTAAGTATTAAAAATGTATAATCATAAGAAAAGGATGTGCCTGGGTCCCTTATTTGTCGCTGTCCTTAAATAAGTAGGAACTTAATTTAAGTGAGTTCACTTAAAGTGAACTTAAACTTCAGTGAGTTCTGCACCAACTTCCACTCAACTTACAGCATGATTTTATGGAGCCAGAAGTATTTCAAATACATGTATTAGTCTTTTTCTAGTCTTATTATTCCTTGAAGGGACTTGTTTGAGTTGAGGCGTGCTCTGTCATGAATAGTTTATCTGTGCAGTCATGACTACTGGAAATGGAATTGCCCACATAAATAAACGCCACAGGACTGGGCTTGAAGTCAGAGAGATTCAGGCTAGTGCAAAGGTTTGCCCTGCAGAAGTCTTTGCAGCACACTTCACTATGACAATTTCTGGGAATGCTGCTTTGTGTTTTTTTTACATGCTGAAAGCCTGTGCATGTTTAGACTATATTATAACTAGTTATGACTTTCAACATCAGAAATCTTCTGTGAAACAAATTCAACATAATGGTTTAGCTTTTCTTATTTATTCCTTCAAAACATACTGAACCCTTGCCTGGCTCCTAACAGTCCATCGGACAAGTGGATCGGTACCTCCCTTTTGGGATGTGTGGCTGCTCAGTAACCAGCAATCTGGGGCAAGACTCACTCTGGACTGGCATCAGTGGAGACCTTACACCTGAACTGCTCTTGCATGTCCTGAAGAGGATGTTACTGGTTTTAGCCACTAGGTTAGGAAACCTTCCAGTGGGTTAGGAAACTTACAGTGTTTTCACTATGCTAGAGACAACACTATAGATTCGAGGTCCCAAGAAGACTGTGTGAAAGGATTTTTACAGTTGCAGGGTAGTTAGTCACTTTTTGTTTCATTTCAGATGGAGGAATGCTGGCTTTTAAAGACCAGGTGAAAAGCTTCTTCCCTAGGATAGCAAAGTGAAATTGAACTTGCCCCAGGCCCAGGATTAGAGCTACAGGTCTCTTTATCCTTTATTTTGTGATGTTCATAAAGCTGTTCAGTATTTGGAGAGTGTTATCATTAAAGTGCAGCTGACGTTATTGTTCTTACATTTCCAGTGTGTCAGTGTTACTGAGATAAAAA